CCTGTTTCCACCTTCAAGTCCTGCCTCTGCATGGAGCCACGTTAAACACATCAGTAGTTACCTCCTCTCCCTTGCCTAAATCAACATTACTTTAAACATCTACCATAATGGCCCACGGAAACACTGAGGGAGGGGAAGACGCTCGAGTGCAGGCATCATCCAGAGCAGAATCTTAAGAAACCCACCTTCCCACATTATGACCCTGTAGTCAGATTGCCTAGGTTTGAATCTCAGCTTCACCAGTGTTTAGTTATGTGACTTTGGGGGAGCTCCCTAAACACTCCGTGCCTGTTTCCTCATCTGTTAAGTGGGAATAAATAATGACCACCTCCTATGGTTGGTACAAAGATTAAATGAATTAGTATGTGCCAGGTTGTAGAACAGCTTCCACAAGATAGGTCGTTATCTCAAAGTCCCATCCAGAGTCCGACCCCACAGTCCCCATCCACTCTAATACACAGCCTGGGCCGGCTCTCTTCTCTCCCTTCACCCTTTTTCTTTTTGTCTTCACTCATTTTCTCTAGCCAGTAGCTCTCTGTCCTTTCCAAAATAAATTATTTTGCCTTCTCAAGCTCTCCAGTTTTTTCCCCCACTTTGTCCATTAACCCCATTCTTTTAGAAAGGAGTAGGCAGAGGGAAAGATTGTAAAAACTTATCCTCAATGATGTTTTTAAAAAATTTCTGTTACAGAAGCTTAGGAGTATCTATGATCCTGACTTCTAAAAAGGTATTGCTGTATCGATTATACTTAAGATTAACATTAATGAAAAGAAGTCCTGAAAACTTTTAATTAGTTGAAATACTTCACAAGAAGAGACAAATAAGGAGATTATATATTTTACTAAATCTTAAAAATCTTCCTGAATTTTCTGGACTATGTTATAGTTCAGACTTTAGTATTCAGTATTCAACTGCTCTGTTCAAGCAGCTTTCCAGAGTTGGCACCTATGCCTTCAGAAACCAGGGTCACTAAAAGGCACCGGGGCCTTTATAAACAGTCAATAATCACATTTCATTTTAGTTTCCTTGGTAATTAGTTGGAATTGATGTTGGCTTACTCAATATAGTTGGACTAACACAAAGAGAAGACGACAAATTCATTTTGCCTCGTTTCTGAGGGAAAACAGTGAAAAGCATTTTTCTTTTAAGCTTCAAGTTTGTTAGAGGATAAGAGACCAGTTAAGTCAGGTAACAGATCAGTTAAGTCAGGACTGTGCTGGTTCTTAAGTGGCCGATGACCTCTTCATATAACTTTATCATTCCTTGTCTCTCTTAAAAGCTCTGTGAGTTCTCTGTCTCCTGTTAAAAAGCAACGGCTGACATTTATTGACCACTGCCAGTGTGCAAGGAACTATGTTAAGCCCTTTGCATGCATGAATGCATTTAATCTTCAGAACCCTCTGAGGTAGGACTTTTTATAACCCCCATGTTTCAGATGAGGAAACTGAAGGGCAAAGGGATTAACCAATTCCACCCTGATTACTCATCAAGTCAGTGGGAAAGAAGGGATTCTAGCCCAGAACAAGCAAGCTTAACAATTACTCCCAAAAGCCTACTATGATTCTCTAACTTGATTTCAAAAGCTTCGTGAGAGAAAGAGTACTTTTCTGTGTACACAAAAACAAACACTGCCCTGAGTTTGTTTACATAGATATAAACTTAAAGATAATTCTAGAAGTCATATCTTGCATCTTCTTAGTGGCCTTGGTTCTCAGTCAGCCAAATTACTTTTTTATGCTACATAGCCATGCCGAGAGTATGTCTGTTCTGTTTTTCTTCATTCCTTTTCTCTGAAGAAATAATTCTCATAGGAAATCATTTCGAACTGGGTGGTGCGAATGTGGGAGGAGAGAGAGCAAGGGGGAGAGGAGAGAGAATGGGGAGGGTCAGCAAGATGTTGAAAAAGCTGTTTGGAAACCCTCCCTTCAGTTAAGTTACTAAATCTCCAGTGAAGTTACTGAAGGTTTTTTATCTCCTGAAATGCTTGGTATGAGTGCACTTTTGAGGAAAGCAGTGAAGAGCCCAGGCTTCATATCAAGTCATCACAGGGTAAAACAGAGACAGCAGGAGGACGCCAGGGCATGGCAGGGAGGATGCTCAGGAACCCTGCGGGATTCTTAGGGGGAGCTTTGGACGATCACTATCTGGGGACCTGTGGCTGAACCCACTTTAATTATACCTGTAAGTAAGCCAACAGCCCTTGGCTGAGAGTGGGGTTATATATTCAAGTAATCAAATTTAAATCCTCTCCACTAGAATGGCTAAACTTTTTTAAATTGACAATACCATGTGTTGTCAAGGATGTGAAGCAACTGGCAGTCTCATACATTGCTAGTAAGAGTGCACATGGCACAGCCACTTTGGGAAAGAATTTGGAAGTTTCTTATAAAACTAAACATTTACTTAACATATCACCTAGCAATTCCTCTCCTATATATTTATCCAAGAGAAATGAAAACATTAACATCCACACAAAGACCTGTATGCAAACATTGACAGTGACTTTTTTCATAAAAGATAAAAACTGGAAATTCAAATGTCTACCAATTAATGAATGGACAATCAAATTGTGGTATACCCATACAAGAGAATAAACAGCTCAGCAATAAAAAGGAATAAACCACTGACCCATGCAGCAACATGTACGAATCTCACCAGCATTATGCTAAGTGAAAAAAGCCAGACACACAAGACTACATACTGGAGGATTCCATTTATGACATTGTAGAAAAGGAAAAACAATACTAACAAAAAACAGATCGGTGACTGGCAGGGGCTGGTGGCTGAAGGAGATGGGGACCAAGTGCAAAGGGGTACAGGGAAATAGCTGAGGTGAGAGAAATGTTCCATATCTCGATTATAGTGGTGGTGACATGACTGTCTACACATTTGTCCAAACTCACCCAATTGTACACTTAAAATTTTAGGGTGAATTTTATTATACCTCAATACAGCTGGGGGTTTTGTTGTGGTTATTTGTTAGAATTTAAATCATCCTCACAGGTAGTCATAAAAAGAGAAACACGTGTGTCCTGAAAATGCTCTCTTACAGAAGGGCAGTCCCACTCAGTTCGCCGTGGCGATTCTGTAGCACATCTCACGGATTCCCCAAGTCCTTACTATTGGGGAGACTGTTCACACTATTTAGAATGACTTTAATCAGAGTAGGATTCAAAGTGAGTCTCTTGGCCAGTACAAAGTTGTGTTTTGGGCCATGATTTTAAAGCAGAGATACTAACTAAAAGCTGAACATTGTCTTCTTAAGAGCACAGAATCATAGTCCTTGGTTTACAACTAGGGCTGCCTGATAAAATAGAAGACCTCTAGTCAAACTTAATTTCAGATGAACAACAAATAATTTTTTAGTATAACTAGGTCCTAAATGTTACATGGGACGTATTTTTTATTTCCTATATCTGGCAACCCAATTAATAGCACTATCATCATTAGTCCATGCATTGCCTTAATTAACTTACTAATTAATCTGATATTCGTGTTTTAGCTGCAGGAATTTTTAGTAACTATCCTCTTAAGAAATCTTGTAGCAACTCTAAGGCACCAAGAACTTATTTCAGATACTGAGAAGTGACTGATTCTGGATCCTGTTAATCAAATTGTGATTGACCCAGGGTATCAGCATCAACCTCATGCTTGTTAGAAAAGGATCTCAGGTCCCACCTAGACCTACTGAATTCAGAATCTGCATTTTAACAAAATCCCTATGTGATTCATATGCACATTAGTATTTTAGGAGCACTGATTTAGAAAGCTGTGTTTTAGGAAAATTCCCAGGGCATATGCAGGGTGGATTGAAGGGGAACTGACTGCAAGTATAGAAACCCCTTACAAGAATATTTTAAAAGTTCAGGCTTTGCTTCAAGATCTGAATTCTGGTGCAGGCAGCGGGAATGAAAAGAAAGAAACTGAAATGAGAAACACTGTAACGGAAAAAAATCAATGGGACTTGGTAACAGACCAGATGGAGGAGAGAAAGGAAAGATGTCAGAATCCGAATGTAAATCAAGTAGAAGCATCAAAGTGTTTCTAGTCTCCTTGGCAGGGGTTCTCAACCTTAGCTGCGTTGTGATCACCGTGAGCTTTAAAATACTGATGCCTGGGTCCCAACCCCAGAGACTCTGATTTAAGGTGAAGCCCGGGCATTAGAATTTCAGACTACTTCCCATGTGATTCTACTGTGCAGCCAAGGTAAAGAAACACCAATACGGGCTCTTTCAATCTATTTGTTTTCACTTAGAGTAGTGATTTTCAACCCTTGCTACAGTTTACTTGGGAGCTTTAAAAATATATCAGTATCCAGACGTTGCCCTTAGAGATTATGATTTAATTGGTAATATTTTAGAAGTTCTTCAGTCAATTGTAATGTGCAGCCAGGGTTGAGAACACTCAATTGAAAAATTCAGTTTAATTGGTAATTTATTAACCATTTTTTTAAAATAAGTATAAATGAAGAGGGAAATCAGTGCTAACAGACTCCAAACCTTCTAGTTAGGTGAAATACAAACCAACATATTTTCATTTGCTTGTTATAACTTCACAATGAAATTTACTTGGAATTAGCTACAATTTCCATTTTTTCAAAACTTCATTTTGAATCCAAAAAGAATCGGCTTATGACCATTGCAATTAGATAACCATTTATGAAATGAGCATTATTCAGACACTTAAAATATAATATGAAATAAATTGATTCCAACTGCAGACACAATTATATATCTTAGGATAGAATAAGGTCCTGGGGCAGAAGGATAGGAAGGAAACAAAATGTCTGAAATTTATTCCTAAGTCAAAGTAAAGACTCTATCAGGACTGAACCCTATAACTAAAGTCCAAATAAAAAATATCGAGCAGAACATTTAAGCATTTTAGTTAACTTAATCACTATAGGATTATTTCATAAATGTGCAAAGTAAAGTAAAAATTTTCTTTCAAAATGAGAAATGTTTCCAAATAACCTTTTATAAAAGGGAAAATTGGCTTACCTCTTCCCTATGATTCTTTATTGGCATACAAAGAATACTTTGTGTCTTGTAGCCTGTAATTTGGTCAACTTCTGCATTGAATCGAGGATCCTAGTAGGGAAAAAGAAATTCAATTTAATGACTGACCTGTTCAAAGATTGATTTGATTTTTCCCATTTATAAGATTAGAGAAATCTAACCTTTGACTTACCTTGTTGCTCTGAATGACAATTTTATCATTGTAAAAGGCACTGCTGAATGTAAGTACGTATCATCTTTGACAAAGATAAATTTAAGTGTTTTTTAGCAGCTAGTGTTTATGAGAACCAAAAAAATACAGACTCAAACAAATAAAGGAAATACAAACAAAGAAATAAACTCAAAGAAATTAAGGAAATTCAAAATATTAACCAATTTGCATAGCGTTACTTAGATTCAGGAAAACTGGCAACTCTCCTCCCCGTAACACAATTTGCCTGTTCCCATCTCACTACCTGATTCTTCCATGCCATCCAACAGGAAAGCATCTCTGCTCTGAAACTTTTCCTATAAAACCAACCACCTCCAAAACAAACTTCCAGTATTGACTTTACTCCCTTGTAATGGTCGTTTATATAATTCCTCAGTATTCTGTTCTATCTCAGGTGTTCACAAGAATTTATATCTTTTCTTTTCTTTTTTCTTTTTGTATATGTAAAAAAGCTGCATGGCCTCAACCAGACTGTAAACAACTCAATCTTTTGAACCTCTTTCCCCTTTTATAAAGCATATCATGCACATCCAGTAATTACAAAGGACTCTGACAGGTGTAAAAGTTCTAAATGTGAGCTAAAGAAAGGTACAGGCTATTTTCTCTTAAACTCCAGATTGGGAAGATTGAAGTTAGTTAGGCTGTAAACTCTATGAGGGGCTTTTTTTGGGCTCATCACTGTATTCCCAATATTAGCACAGGAACTCAAAAGCATTTGGTAAATAAATGAAAGAATTTATCAACAAGTGATATCATAGTTATCAAACTGTGATCATTTTTAGCTTACTATAGTTTAAATTAAATCTTGTAGGTAGGGGGAAAACATACTAAAGGAAATGGACAGATAACCACTATATGAGGAAAGATTAGAATGGAAAAAACAAACCAGAACATAAACATTTGAATGAGTATTGTTCCTTCAAAGCAACAGCCTTGGGAAGTTACATGTTTAACCTAATAATAGCATCACTGCTCTCAAAACTCTGCTTTAGGAATTCCCTTCAGAGAATATGGAATAGCTACATTGGAAAATCCTCATCTTTGAAGGTCATTTCTATTTTTTTTTTAAATTAGTCTAAAGTCATGCAAAGCCAAAGCTGTGAATGAAGTAAATGACTATACTAGATTCCATCAATTGGGGTCAGAAATGAGGCCAATTTTCCCCTGAGAGGGCCAAACCCGGCATTAAGGACAACTGCAAAAGAAAAATTATAAAATGGTGGAAAATCAGTTTAAATATTTTATATTATAAATAAACACTACTGCATTTTTGCTTTTTCTGCAAACATACTCAAAGTTATATTGAGACACAGAGAAAACCTGGGCTGAATGCTTCTAAGAAATAGTTCCTAAATAACATACTTTAGTATGCAAAGTATCAAAAGCAATTCTGATATTGATGAATTAAAGAAGTTGAAATTTATTAACTTATAGAGTAAACTATTCTACAAGCTAATAATCAAAATATGAATAAAAATGCACCTTCAGCAATTATTTTGTTAATGAATATTTGAATTACAAGACCAATTTATGAAGATGATTAAACCCAACTATCTAATCACAGCAACAGAGTTTGACAGACTGAAATTAGCAGGACTATCACAGCATTTTTGTGCATACTACAAGTTTAAAATCAACAGCAGCCTGGATCGCACTCTTCATTGAAGGAGGCGGGAGTAACATATGCTTCAAATTCATTTAGGTGAATTTTGGCATCTCAAAATATTTTCCTTTAACAATGCACTCACTGCAGAGGCAATACACAGAGAGAAGTTCTAACCCCGTTAGGTCCAAGAAACACCAAAAAAAAAAAAAATGGAGCACTACTGTTATTGTGATTATTCCTTTCATTGTTTATGAGAATATGACAACGTAAAAAAAAACACACGCCTTGGATCTCCACTTGCCATGATAAAGCAACTGCTACCAGACTTGCCCTACTGCTTCACTAGACAGTGGAGAGCGAAAATACATGATTGCCATGCAATACTCCGGCTTTCTTCCTGGGGGCATTTTCCTGCTGGGGAGAAGGCAGGCAGTATCCAAGTGGAACAACAGTTCCAAACGGAAGTGAAAGAAATTCAAGACTTCTAAAGTGGCTGGAATTTGAAAGGCAAAGTACCTGATAAGAGAGGCTGTGTTGGGGGGTTGGGGAGAGGGGTCTAAAGGAGGAGTGGCAGAAGACTGAGCAGCTACTCACTTCAGACATGTACAGAGCAAGACTCTGACCTTGCAAAAATGACCTGTTGAAGTCTGAAAGCAGAACAGGGACACCAGTTAGGGAAATGTTTAGAGACACTGGAGTTCCAGTCGAGCCAGAGGAGAGATCTTACTAAGCACCTCAGGCATTCAGTTGAGACACAGAACCATATCCTAGATTCAGGGGGCACTCCCTAAGATTAAATTCAAAAGTAAAATAGATCCACCCTAACAAATAATAATATCAAGGCCAACAAGACCAAAGATCTCTCAATAATTTCAATGCCTGCAAGAACAAATGTCAGCCTTATTTTAAAGGAAGACGAAATGATCCAAAAGCCCTGCAATGAAACATCCACGATGTCCAGCATGAAATCAAAAATCATGACACATGTGAAGAAACAGGAAACTGCAACCCATAATGAAGAGAAAAACTAGGTAATAAAAATGGACCCCAAGATGATTCAGATGTTGGAATTAACAGACAAAAGATTTTAAAGAAGCTACTATAAATGTATTTAAGGACTTAGAAGAAAATATGGTAATAATGAACTGATAAGGAATCTCAGCAAAGAAAGAAAAAACTATAAAGAAAAATAAAGCCACATGGAAATTCCAGAATTGAAAAGTATAATGTCTAAAATGAAAAGTTCATTGAAGGGTATGTGAACCTGAACATAGATCAACAGAAAGTATCTAATCAGAAGAACTCAGAGGGGGAAAAAGAAAAAACTTATAAAAAGTTAACAGAGCCTCAGTGTTTTCTGGCATGATATCAAGTGGTCTAACATATATATAATTGAAGTCCCAAAAAGAAGAAAGAGAATGGAGCAGAAAATATTTAAAATTAAATATTTTATTTTTATTTAAATAAACACAATTAAAAATAAAATATTTAAAATTAAACCAAAAATTTCTCAAAGTTGTTGAAAACCTTAAACTTACACACATGGTGTGAAAATGAAATACAGCACCACAGGAGATGCAAACACAAAGTATAGCTGACTTCTCACAAGAAAAATGAAGACCAGAAAAATGTGGGAAAACTCTTTTAAAGTGTTGAAAGAAACTATTATTAACTAATATCTTTTAAGAATACAGGCAAAATAAAGGCATTTTCAGATCAACTAAAACTGAGAGAATTTGTCAGCACCAGACCCATACTACAAAAAAGAGCTAATGGAAGTTCTTCAGCCTGAAAGGAAAGATACTGGAACCTGCAGAAAGGAGTGAAGAAGTTAGAACTTGGCTTGAGCACATGCTTAAAGAGTAAGGAAACCTGGTTCTTCATTTTTGGAGAAGGAAACACCTAACAGAGAAAAGAAGCAGAAAAAAAAAAATGTACCTTGAGATGTGGATTGAAATTGGAGGTATCAGTAAGAATTCATTGTTTTTAAAATAATAAGTAGATAGGTATAGAAATAAATAAAATATAGTATGTGTGTATATTTGATTATTTTTTTCCTAGCTCTGTCTACTAACATATTAGCAATGAGCACATATCAGAAGCAATGAGCACACCTAGTGGCCAGACCTTGGTTTCTAAATACCATCCTTTCCTTGGAAGCAAGGCTCCTTGGAAAAAGAACATTCTAGGGCTAGGGCAGGGAAAGTCTAAGATAGCCTGGAACATCTTGTTAAGCCAGTAAGAACTTTCAGCCCCACCAGAAAGCAAGAAAATTGTAGTGATGGGGGCATATCAAAAGTAGATGGGAGTCTGCAAATCTGCTAGAATTTGAGAAGCCAAATAAATAAAGATAATAACAGATCATAACTCATAAACAAAATGAAAATCCATGAGTCCTCAGTGATATAAATGAATGAATGAATGAATAAAAAAGACAAAACTCTTCCTCACATTGGAATGCCACCTAATAAATATAGAAGGTATGATGGCATTAGAAAATCACTGGATGCCAAAACTGGTAAATATAGGTTGATGAGGGATAGGATATTTACATAATATCAAAGTATCTCCCCATAAGATACTTATTAATTTGTTGTTTTTAGTGCCATCAAGTCTCTCCGACTCCTAGTGACCCTGTGTACAGCAGAGCAGAACTCTGCTGGGTCTTTTTGCTCCATCCTCTCACCTACCAGCACTGTATCAAACAATGCTGCACTGCTATTCACAGGGTTTTCATGGCCATTTTTTTGGAACTGGGTGGCCAGGTCCTTCTTCCTAGTCTGTCTTAGTCTGGAAGCTCCAGTGAAACCTGTCCACCATGGGTGACTGCTGGTATTTGAAATATCGGTGGCATAGCTTTCAGCATCACAGCAACATGCAGCCGCCACAGTATGACAATTGACAGACCGGTGGTATGGTTCCCTGACCAGGAAACGAACCTGGGCTACGGCGGTGAGAATGCTAAATTTTAACCACTAGACCACCAGGGCTGGCTACTTATTATTTACAATGAGAAACTGTACCCTTATAGTGGAGAAACCCGGTGGACACCACTGTAACCAAGTTATCAAATTTAACACCATCAATACTGGGATAAACTAATATCACATGCTTCCTGATAACATACACTGAGAAGGTCTGTGGTATAATAAAAAATATATTTGGTCTTTATCCCTGGTTCCTGGCACAGAGCTTCTAAAACCCTTAAAATTTCCTGAGTTGATAGGAGAATATTTTGATATTCCTAACAAGCCC